ACCAGATCAACAAACTAGGCCTACTCAATCAGATCAACAAACACAACTCCACCAGATCAACAAGCTAGGGCTACTAAACCAGATCAACAAACTAGGCCTTCTCAACCAGATCAACAAACTAGGCCTACTCAACCAGATCAACAAACACAACTCCACCAGATCAACAAACTAGGCCTTCTCAACCAGATCAACAAACACAACTCCACCAGATCAACAAACTAGGCCTACTCAATCAGATCAACAAACACAACTCCACCAGATCAACAAGCTAGGGCTACTAAACCAGATCAACAAACTAGGCCTTCTCAACCAGATCAACAAACTAGGCCCAATCAACCAGACCAACAAACACAACTCAACCAGATCAACAAACCCAACTCAACCAGATCAACAAACACAACTCAACCAGATCAACAAACCCAACTCAACCAGATCAACAAACACAACTCAACCAGATCAACAAACCCAACTCAACCAGATCAACAAACACAACTCAACCAGATCAACAAACCCAACTCAACCAGATCAACAAACACAACTCAACCAGATCAACAAACCCAACTCAACCAGATCAACAAACACAACTCAACCAGATCAACAAACCCAACTCAACCAGATCAACAAACACAACTCAACCAGATCAACAAACCCAACTCAACCAGATCAACAAACACAACTCAACCAGATCAACAAACCCAACTCAACCAGATCAACAAACACAACTCAACCAGATCAACAAACCCAACTCAACCAGATCAACAAACACAACTCAACCAGATCAACAAACCCAACTCAACCAGATCAACAAACACAACTCAACCAGATCAACAAACCCAACTCAACCAGATCAACAAACACAACTCAACCAGATCAACAAACCCAACTCAACCAGATCAACAAACACAACTCAACCAGATCAACAAACCCAACTCAACCAGATCAACAAACACAACTCAACCAGATCAACAAACCCAACTCAACCAGATCAACAAACACAACTCAACCAGATCAACAAACCCAACTCAACCAGATCAACAAACACAACTCAACCAGTTCAACAAACTAGGCCTACTCAACCAGATCAACCACCACAACTCAACCAGATCAACAAACCACTCAACCAGATCAACAAACTAGGCCTTCTCAACTAAACCTACCCCTCACAGGAAACTTTCTGCATTTTTAGATTTTTAAAAAACTAATTCTGAATTATTAATAAGCCTTTTGAATTACGGGGACACTGAAAATGTCCTCATAAATCACCTTCTCGTTGTAATACCTATGTCATACCCATGTTATTATACAAATTTGTGTCCTCATAAACCACACAAACACGCACACACACACACACACACACACACACACACACACACACACACACACACACAGAGGTATTTCTATCATCATGGGGACTCTCCATAGGCGTAATGATTATATTACTGTAAAAACTGTATTTTCTATCCCCATCCCTCCCACAAAACTACAGGCATTTTTAGATTTTCAAAACACTTCATTCTATATGATTCATAAGCTGTTTGCCTCATGGGGACCAAAAAATTTCCCCACAAGGTCAA